TGGTGATCGGTGGTGTGGTTGAGAAAATTGCCCGGCTAAGAAACGTATCTCGTGAATGTCTGATGGAAGCGTGTTTTCTCCCCGGCTTCCTGTGCTGCTGGCACGCGGAAATGCAACAAGTTCACTATCCAAGGAGCAATAGCAAGCAAGAGGCGTTAAATGTTCGAAACCGAAGAAAAACGAAACATTGATCTTCACTTTCTATCTCCTTTTATCATTATAATTTTTGTTTAATTGATTGAACAAACTTGATTGAATGTTATTAATTATCATTAATTACATCGCAAATCACAAAACAGTTACAGCAAAAATTATTATTATTAATGGCAAAATACATTAAATACCCAAAAAAAAACAAGTACCAAATATTTAGTAAAATACAATAAACATGAACGTTTTTTTAAATTTAACTTGTCTACAATTGAAATCAAACATAATAGAGATAATCTTAAGTCATAACTTTATAAATCATGCTTTACAGCTTAAGCTACGTGATCAGTTTTTAAAATCTTCTCATAGACAACATAAATTACAAATGTGTTTCAAGTTTCAGATTTTCATTTATTAACGTGGTCATTTTTTTTTGGAGTTGTGATCAAACCTATTCATTTATTGAATGCTGAAAGTATATATTTAATAATAACTTAATAAATCTTAGAACTATTCATTCTTTATATTAGTAAAATTATTTTAAAAAAATCATAAATATTGTAATAATTTAGCCCAGAATTAAAAAAGTATAAATATGAAAAATAAACCCGATTTACTAAGCAATAAAAATGTGTTGGACAAATACTATACTTTTTATTGTAACACTTTTATGTGTAAATTACGTGTTGAAAATACCAAAAAATTCAAGAACTAGAACAACGTAAAGTTATATAATCTATAATCACTTTATTGTATTCCAGGCATATTCAGTGACTCAATCATTGAAAATAATACACATTATTTAATACCAAACAAATTCTCACACACTCGCATGATGTTTGTCATGACAATTATGCAATTAAGTTGCCAATTCCAATGGGATTTTTTGAAAGAAAAAGAAAATTAATAAAAAAAAGACACCTATAATTATAATTAAACTGTACTTAATTGCATTATATAACACGCACAGTATTTAATTATCGATAACATGCGTAAATAGGTTTCAAGCTTTAATGGCCAATTAATTTCTAATTAAATCATAATATTCCTTCAATTACGCATGCATTACGTAGAGTATTGAAATTTGAATATTTCTGCATGTAAGCAACATTAAAATGATCCTAATATAGTTATCTTAAACGAAACAGGTCAAGATTAGGTTTTTGTTATTTTGAATATAATCAAAAGCACGTTGAAATAATGTACGTGTTTATATTTCACACTAATTATTTAAGTAATTGTAAAAAAAGAGGATTATCCAATAATTCAATCAAATAATTTTACTTGCATATAGATTTTAATAGTAAAGAAATTTAGTATTTATAGACAAGTTTAACAATATGTTGATACATTTATTCTAAGAATTTAAAAAAAGCTTGTTTTAAACCGGACTATTCGAGAATATAATTACATATAAAAATAAATCATACAAAAAGGAAAATTAACTGTATAAAAAAAACTATTTGTATACTATTTTTTTTGGGAATTTATTTTTATATAAAATTGAGTTCTTTTTAAAATACGCAAACTGGACTAAATTAAATCCGCAATGATCGCACTATGCGAGGTATCGTTGCAGTTGTATGTCAAAATCCAAGAACAACAATAACGTCCGGTTTCAAATAGTCTGATATATTGGCGGAACCGATTACCAGGACTATGCAAAGTATTGTTGTACATTTAATATATGAGTTTCCCTTTCAACTATTCATCATTAGATCTTTTAACCATAAGGATTATATAGGCTTGTCAATCTAACTGTTAGACACTAACAAACCATTCACTTTCTACTAGAGAGCATAGTATATTTGGCATAAACGACGATACATCTTAGTTCTAATACTTAGAAATTAAAATTAATAATCATTATAGAAGATTAAAAAATGAATACGATATCCTGAATGAAAATATTCATAGAATACTAATTGTGACATCTTGCATCAATAGCAAACAGTGCGTTACGTAAAGGACGACTCGCAGGCATCCAAAAATTTCTACTGGCTCTTTTATTTATTTTCTTCGGTGAGCGATGATATAAGCAATCGAGAACAAATGAAATAACTAATTGGCCCGTCCAGACTGGCAACTTTCGCTTTCCTTCCTTCCGTCCAACCTTTCATAACATACGCATACACATCTACATATCATCTCGTGAGCAGGAAGCGTAGAATCACTTGAACCAATGAAAATCACACATCCATTTAAACTTCAAATATTGTAATAAAAAAATCTCGTTGCGTAAAAATTACAGCAAAATAATTAAAAAGTAAACATAATTTTTGTTTAAAACCCAATAAAATAAAGTTAATAAGTTTATGACAAAAAGAACTTTAAACTAACTTAATTAACGTAATTACGTTTTCAACATTAGAAATTCTAAGCAATTATTTAAACAAAATGATTTTTTCAAACCAACTATAATAAATCCGCATTGATTGGAACCGTACTATGTAAATAATTATACATCACTTTTAACTTAAGATAAGTTTTCAAAAATTAGTTGATTATAAATCTTCTACGCATTGTTACACCATAAGCAGGAAGTGTAAAGCATACGAGTGGGAAAAGTGCGCCAATTAGTTTTTTTTGTAAATATGAACAATCAGAACGTGCACCATTGAATGATTGTGTAATGATGCAAATTGAAAACGACAGTGTCATCAACTGTAATTGGATATTCCTATTTTGTTCTTTTATTGTCTGCATGATGTTAAAGATGCGAGATGAATCGTCTGTGAAACGGATATTAGTATCTGTACTTTCCAACATTTACTTTGTAGAAACTATTTCATGGCCCACTTGTTTACGGAACTTCAAAACGCATTACCTCCACTTAAAAAAAAAGTGAATATATGAAACCGAATTCTCCACTTGAATGTTGTCACACCTTCAAACAATATTGATTATCATTACCAATAACTTTCTTTTATATAATAAATAAATAGTTATTTATTTATATCGTTTTATATTAAATATTATTATTACTTTTTTTTCTTTCAATTTTGATCCAAAATTACTTTCTAATAAATTGCTAAAACTGCTCCTTCATAGAATGTAACAAAAAGTTATTGTAAAAAGAATATTTCAAAAATTAAAAAAAATTCAATTTGTTTTAACCTGTAAACATCTGTTGTCAAATATATAAAAATCATTGTAAATCAGGCTCAATTGAGAAAAAGCTCTATAGTTATCCCGAACAATAACATTTTGCCTCCAATTTTTGTGTTTTGAATTTATAATTACAAAAATATGAAAAATAATTAAAAGAATATTTGGTATTATAAAACATAATTTGCATACATTTTAATAAAAATTGATTTTAATTAATTTAGGTCAATATGCAAGAAAAACTGGATGATGATGTTGAGGATTTCATATTTTAAACACAACATAATAGAAGCATCGAATAAAATCGATAAATCTGCCGTAAGCGAATCCTTTCACTCCTAATGACTTTAGAAATGAAGTAGCAATTTCTTAAATTTCTACTCTAAGATTATCGACAATCATTTTGCATCAATTAAAAAATATCATTCAAGGATAATTCGATTCATAATGAATGCGTTTTGTTAAACGATATTAAAACTATAGTAACAGATGTAAATTAACACTTCTACTTAACTGGTAACGACTAAAGCAATTATTGAAACGGAGGTGTCGGTAAATAGCAGATGAATAAAAAAAAAGATCGCTCAAATATTTGTACGATCTGAAACCGATTCACTTCACAATCTGGTGACCACTTTCTAATGCATGTGTTTCGGTATACAACTGAAAAAGGTAAAAGTGTTGCAAGGTGATGAACGAATCTGGGTTGCAAATCCGGAACTCGGAAGCGTTTCTCATGTAACGCAAGCGGAACAAACTTCCGCGCTGCTTTGCATTTTGCGGCGCACATCGAGCGCAGGAGATTGTTCATGCTTACGTACGTTGCTGATTCGCAATTAATATGTTTAGATAGGAATTATAGTCGGAGATTTTTGTAATTAACATTGTTTTCTTTTGTTGTTTCCAGTTGTTCCGATGGAGACGGGCAGCTGACACGATCGACAACGGAAATTGCAGCTGCGCCATGATCGAAAGAGGAAGCTAATCGAATTTGGAATGCGAGGATTACCTGAAATTACAATAATTTTATAGATTATCTAGTCAATTATTGGAGGCGTAAGAGAATCATCTACCAAATAGATTATGTATGATATTTGTAAGATTAATGGTATTTTAAACTCCTTTTATCCTATCTAAAAGTATCTTTATTTACTTAAATAGATAATCCAGAGATGTCGCAACAATCAATTGTTTAAATTTATAATTTAATTGATAATTTAATCTCTTTAATCGGTTAATGTCTGTGCTTTAAAAATTTATTGAGTTTATTGACTAGACTAATAATATTGGACCAGGTAGATAGATGTAAATAGGGTTAAGGGAAAAGCAATTAATATGAACGTCTGTTTTGTACGACTTTCGAGTTATTGTTCGAGTTTCAAAAATAATTCTTCTACGGTTTTTGTTGTTCGAATATCAATTTGTTTGAACGTCAAAACGTTGTAAAATCAAGTATTAATAAAAAGATAAACTGTATACACATTGAAACAATGAGAGATAGAATTACAAGTAAATTAATTTGAATATAGTTAAAGATAGGATTAAGACGGGATACTGTTTAATAAAATCAATAATAAAATGGTTTTGATTTTTTTTTCAGTTAAATTTTACGGAATTGATTGTACCTAAGAAGCAATATATATAAAGTAATAGTTATAATAATAATTCTGTATAGGTAAATATATACATACTATATTTGAGTATGCGTTTAAATTAAATATTTGTATTTGCAGTTAACTAATATGGTCTTGGAAACAGTATTAGTTTCAACGGCTCTGAAGACCGTGGGAATCGTGGGTTCAGGGTTATGGCTACTCCCGTTGATGCTTGCTGGTATAACGTATCACAACTACAACCGTCTGGACCCGGAATCTCCTCCGATCGACGCCAAAATGATCCAAAGAGAGTACGACTTTATCGTGGTTGGGGGAGGCTCTGCCGGAGCCGTGGTCGCCTCACGTCTCAGCGAAATACCATCATGGTCCACTTTACTTTTAGAAGCAGGTCCCGATGAGAACGAGATATCCGATGTGCCATCTCTTGCAGCCTATCTGCAACTATCCAAACTGGACTGGGCTTACAAGATCGAGCCTACGGGAAGAGCCTGTCTCGGAATGAAGAACGGCCGATGCAACTGGCCGAGAGGAAAAGTTCTTGGTGGTTCGAGCGTACTAAATTATATGTTGTATGTTAGAGGTAACAGGAAGGATTACGACCTTTGGGAGTCTTTAGGAAATCCCGGATGGAATTACGAAGAAGTTTTGAAGTACTTCAAGAAATCTGAAGATAATCGTAACCCGTATTTGGCGAAAACCGATTATCACTCAAGCGGTGGTTACTTGACGGTTCAAGAGTCACCGTGGAGGACGCCGTTGGTGTTGGCCTTCGTTGAAGCTGGTCAGGAAATGGGTTATGATAATAGAGATATCAATGGGGAGAGACAGGATGGGTTCATGGTAGCTCAAGGTACTATAAGAAGAGGAACAAGATGTTCAACGGCTAAAGCATTCTTGAGGCCGGTTAAGTTAAGGAAAAACTTACAAACTGCTTTAAACGCGCACGTCACTAGATTATTGATCAACCCGACTACCATGAGAGTTTACGGCGTGGAATTTGTAAGGCACGGAAGAAAGCAAATCGTTTTGGCGAGAAAAGAAGTTATTCTATCGGCGGGAGCAATAAACTCGCCGCAAATCATGATGTTGAGCGGTTTGGGACCTAGAGAGCATTTACAAAAGTTGGGAATTCCTGTGCTCCGAAATCTAGCAGTTGGTGATAATTTGCAAGATCACGTCGGCATGGGTGGTTTGACGTTTCTGGTGGATAAACCCATCTCCATCGTGCAAAACCGATTCCAAGCCTTCCCTATGACCATGCAGTATATAACTAAGGGCAAAGGTCCGATGACCACTCTTGGAGGAGTCGAGGGTTTAGCTTTTGTTAACACCATCTACGGGAACAGGTCGTGGCCCGACATCCAATTCCACATGGCGCCTGCCAGCATCAACTCCGATGGAGGTCTTAAAGTCCGGAAAGTCTTGGGCTTAACAGATTTACTATACAATACAGTATACAAGCCCATAGCTAACAAAGATTCATGGACGATGATGCCTTTACTCCTCAGGCCTAAATCTCGCGGAACAGTTCGTTTGAAGAGCAAAAGTCCGTTCCATTATCCCATCATAGACGCAAACTACTTCGCCCATCGCGCTGACATCGACACACTCGTCGAGGGAGCTAAAATCGCTATAAAGATTAGCCAATCTCCAGTCTTCAAGAAGTTCAATTCGCGTCTTCACACAATCCCATTCCCGAATTGCAGAGACCACAAGTTCGGAAGCGACGCTTACTGGGAATGCCACATTCGTACCATTTCCATGACGATCTACCATCCGGTGGGAACGTGTAAGATGGGTCCGGAATGGGATAGTACCGCTGTAGTTGATCCCCGTCTACGAGTTTACGGAGTGAAAGGTCTCAGGGTTATAGATACTTCGATAATGCCCACGATTCCTAGCGGAAACACGAATGCACCAGCGATCATGGTCGGCGAGAAGGGTGCGGATCTGATCAAGGAAGATTGGTTATCACCAAAGTCATGAAATCGCGCACACCGAACTTCTGAATGAACTGTGATACCAATTAATTATTGTAATTATTACCTGTAACGTGTACATATTACTGATAAACTTTCGAATTGTTAAAAAAAAGATTTATAAAATTATTTATATTATTTTATTATAATGTCCAGTTTTAACCCATTAATGCCCTAAGTTTCAAATTTGATACCTAAGTACATTAACAGTTAGTACGACATATTTATGGCCTTAATGCCTAAGTATCAAAATTGATACCTGCTTTCTTTTTCGAAATAAATATATAATATGTATTGTGATTTTTTACATTGATATATTTTTTTTTTTAATTTAATTTAGAAAATCAGACAGGGTTAAATTAATTACATTTAAATATTTTTGGAATATTTGGCAAATACTCAAAGTAGTAATATTCATAATCCACTTGTTATTTTTGAACCTCAGATGAACTGTTAACTGCGACCAATAAATTTTAATAAAATATAAAATCAAATGTGTTTACTTTCTTTATAAATCAAACTAAATAAATTATTAAAATTAATTAAGAACTTAATTCATAATTACAGTGAATAAAATTGCTTCATATAAAAATAAAATTAGTATATTACCTGTTATTATTTAATATTTAAGGTTTTTTATGGATAAGTCAACGAAATAAAATACATTAATAATATACCTTTATTATTATACCTGGAGTTCCCAATAAATTGCGCCGACTTGACCGGCGCCGACGACTCCAATATTGTCGTAAAATATTGTAATCTCAATGATTGTAAATGTATTTATACTGCCCGTTAAAACCTTTTTTGTCCAAATAATTTTATGGTCTTTCAAATATTCTACCTAGTTAATGTGTATTTAATTTGAGAAAGTTAGCTCTATAAAATTTATAACAGTATAATACTGTCTCCGAAACATAGGCTAGTTTTAGGCGATTTTCTGTTCTACAAAAATCTTGATTTAATTTTTAAAAAAATAACAACATTTGTTAGAGCCGATAAACCCGAAAATGGACAGAAATAGGGCCAAACAGATTAATTATTGATATAAATCTATTTATTAATAAATAATAATAAAGTAACAAAAAATAGAAATAAAGGTTATTATATGTTTTGTAAATACATATTTAAATCAAAAAATAATGATGACATTTCAGAAAACAAAAGTAAATTTTATTCAAAGTCACTATCACTATTTAAAACAGTGATTCCCAAAGTGGTCTATATCGACCCCCAGGGGTCTATGACAACCTGCAAGGGGTCAACGTCAGCGAAAAAAAAATTTGGGGGTCCATGAAATGAAAATGGGGGTCCACGATAGTGGACACTGACAGTATCTATTTACTTACTATCTATTATACTATCTTATAATATAAAGACATATACATTATTTAGTTGCTAAAAATTTGAGTGTTAAATTGTATGAATCTCTTCAATTAGTCATTGATGCAGTAAACCAAATCCGCAGAAACGCGTTGAATACTTTCCTCAATTACTCCAAAACACTGAGGTACGCTGGCTGTCGAAAGGCTTATGTTTGACAAGATTTTTTGCACTTTTTGAGACTATTAGAATTTCTGGATACTAAAAATCAGCGTTTCATGCCAGAGTTAAACTAATGAAGCAAAATATTGGACTGGGTTAATTTTCCCAGTTCCCCAATTTGTCACAGACAAACTGCCAGGAAGACGACGTTTCAACAACCTACGTTCAACATTTAAATTCCCTCTATTCAGATTTAGGAACTAGGTTTGAGGACGTTTTGACTATGGTAATACCACCGTGGATAATTAACCCATATGGAGACATAGATGAAACGAATGTCATAATACAAGAGGAACTGACTGAACTAAGTACAAACGAAGAACTTAAGGTTCAGTTTAAAAACGGATATCAGCAATTCTGGCTGCAAAACAACATACCTGTTCCGTTCTCACTAAAAACATTTACTTATTGCTTAGTTTATTTTATGTTACGTATATTTTATATAACAGATACAAACTTTTATTTTGAGTAGTTTTAATTTATGTATAAAACTTAACATGTGTTTTTACTTTAAGTTTTTAACACTAAACTTCACTACAGTTAGACATTTACAAAATATCAATATCAGGTAAGTAGGGGGTTTACCCATAACCGAAAAACATGGCAAGTGGTCTACGACACAAAAAAGTTTGGGAACCTCTGATTTAAAACAATCATTTCGTTTTTATTATCATAAACTGATTATCTTTATAATAAGAAAAAGTTGATTAATTTGTATGCTAATACAAGTATAGATTTACATTAGATCTAAGAAAAAACTCAATTTGCGGCGCTTTTAATATATCGACAATTTACTGCGGACTGCGAACTTTATGTTAATGTATCAGAATTTTTGCGGCGCACAGTTTGGGAACCCCTGTTCTATACTGTAAAGTAAATTATCATACTTTTTCATTCATGTGACAAAATAAAAAGTTTAAAATATTTAATTAATTATTACATTAAATAATTTCGCCGAATCTTAAATAATGATAAAAGCAAATACTTATTTGTATATTGCAGATAGTGACATTTTGCAGGTAGTTATCAATAAGTTTTGGTGCAATAAAAATATGTGCAAAAAAAGCAGGTAGAATTATATTACAGGGGTAAGGGTATGAAATAGGGGTAGGGGGATGATGTATATAATAAGTCTGCATCAGTCATTTGTATATCAGTATTCACTTGACACTTGACCAAGAACAACATTTGAAGATGAGAGTTACTAACAAGAAAACGTTCAGAACACATAGAGAGCAACTTGAGTTCTACAATATAAAGTTGAAATTAGAAAAAACAAATAAGAAAAATGAGTCTGAAGTGAGTGAACCGCAGCCACAACAAGTAAAAGAAAAGCAGGAAGAATTTGTCATACCAGAGTATGCTGTAGAGGCAATTATAAATATGCCTCAGAGCATATTCGATGAACTGTTGGCTTATCAGCAGACCACAGAAGCCAAATCTCCGGAGGACTCAGACGGATGCAAGCGGACTTAGCCACATGTTCAAAAACTCCACGAAGTTTTGCAACTTCGTCGGACTCAAATGACTTTTATATTGGAAATAGTGTATTTCATCCCTATTAATGTTTAATAACTAAATAAATATATAAACTAATTCATTTTCTTGAATTTAACATTTCCACAATTTATTTTGAATTATAATTTTGAATATTTGAATGATTTCAAAATAATCATACAAAACATCCTACATCAACTATTTCGCCCAATGTCCCTAAATTTATTCCTCACTTTCCCAGTCGCATTTTTTTTCTCAAGAACTCATATTTTTGGTTTTTGTTTTGAATTCCATACATTTTGTTGTAACATAGTAACTATTTATTAATAAATAATAATAAAGTAAAAAAATAGAAATAAAAGTTATTATAAGTTACAAAACTTATTCAAAGTCACTATCACTATTTAAAACAGTGATTCCCAAAGTGGTCTATATCGACCCCCAAGGGTCTATGACAACCTGCAAGGGGTCTACGTCAGCGAAAATAAAATTTGGGGGTCCATGAAATGAAAATTTGAGTGTTAGATTGTATGAATCTCTTCAATTAGTCATTGATGCAGTAAACCAAATCCGAAGAAACGCGTTGAATACTTTCCTCAATTACTCCAAAAGAATGAGGACATATGGTGATATAGAAGAAACGAATGTCATAATACAAGAGGAACTGACTGAACTAAGTGCAAACGAAGAACTTAAGGTTCAGTTTAAAAACGGATATCAGCAATTCTGACTGCAAAACAACATACCTGGTTCCGTTACTTATCCCGTATTATGGATGAATTTTTTTAATTTCCTTTCCATCGTCATACCTAGTGGAAAGAGGGTACAGCTCTGTTACCAATCTCCTAACGAAAAAAAAAGAAACAGACTGGACATCATTAGACGAGGTAAAATAGACAAAGCTGCAAGTGCGCTCCACGTTGCAACTATGTTTCCAAAAATTCGAGGAGACCGCAGCGAACCGCGAAAGAAGACGGTTGAGGTCTCCAGTTGAGAATATATTAATATATATTTATAATCTCCAAAAGGACGGTGTTGGTGCTCTAGAGGAGCTAAGACCCACCGTCGGAGAAGAAGTGTGCTGATCTGATGAAGCAGTGATAAGAGTTCTTCCTCTCTATAAAAGGAAGTGGCGCCCTGAACCTTCCCACGTCACGGACTCACGCCCTAGCCGGCTAAAGATTGATATATCTTGTTTTTTATGTACACGAGCGCTATCGTGTTACATTTTTGGCGACCAACAGGGGCGACGCTTAGCGTCGGATCAAGAGTGTAATTAAAAGAAGATTGAAGGACGTGAGGAAGAATAGATAAATTTTAATTAGAAGGTACGATTTTGGAGAAGATTTTATTTATCGTTGGTACGGTTTTTTTCAGAACGATAATCATTCATTTTTTTTTATTGCTTATCAGTTTCAATTCAGTTTATTCGAATTTGAAGACATTTTTTCTACATTAGATTATTTTCAATTTAGTATAGTTTAGTTTTGATATAAATTTAAATATAAACATGGATGTACAAAGACTCTTGAAAGATGAATGCATCTATGAATTAACGGTGCGCGGTGCAAGAGTTTTCGACCACTCAACGCACAATCAGTTGAAGAGTAAACTTGCGCCTCTTCTATTGCAGGAAACTGGGTTCAGTTCCCAGCAGCTGTGATAATAATTTATCTCAATTCAAAGATGATCCTCAATTGGAAGATAGTATTGAAGATGAAGAAAAAGAAGAAGAGATACCCTTGTCTGCACAACTTGAATCATCTATAAGAAAAATTGAATCTGAAGAAGATTATGATGTGCCACTCACCTCAAATGATGTCAAAAAATTAGTTATTAAAGAAGAAAATTACTATCAGTTGAAAGAAGAAAATAATGAGGTCATCTATGGAAAGGATCCAAACATTTCAGTTGCCAGCAGCTGTGATAATAATTTATCTCAATTAAAAGATGATTCTCAATTTGA